TTTTTCCATGCCCTCCTTTAGTTACCGTGATGCATTCCTTGGCCTGAAGTGCTGTTTTTGGCCAATGCCACAATCTACTGGGAAAATGGCATTTTTTTTCCTCCTGCTGCATCCTCACATACTTACAACCTCCACATCTCAACCAGCCTGGTTTTCCTTGGTGACTCTGCCAGGAGTTGTGCAAACATCTCAATCTCGAGGTTGGTTAGCCTACTGGAAGCAAACAGAGACCCTACCCTTGACGATCTCACTGCTGCAAGTACTGTGGTTGTGGGAGTAGGATATGGAAGGAGTCACTTTTTCATATCCCATAAAAGACAAGGTAGCTTTTTGAGTATGTATATGTGGCTTTACCTCTCTTAGCTTCCTCCAAAGAATGAGAAGTGATCTTCATGCACAAAGGGTAGTGGGTGCGTTTGGTTTTGTCTGTCATATCTGCTTTCAGGTTGTTTTGGGTGGGTGGTTAGAGCTATGTTCCAGGTTTGTTTTTGCAGTTTGTGTTGGAGATGCTTCTGTGGCATTGGTGACGTAAAGGGAAGAGGTTATGGAAGGTAGCTGGATAATAATTTTCTTTGAGCTGTCCTTGATGATGTTACACTGAGGCAGGGGATTAGGAGGAGAGAATGATCTTATTTAAAAAGGCAAAGGGCTGGCTGGTGAGAGGTACTGAGAAGTAGGCACTAGGATGTTTCCCCCAGGAAGTGCTGTAAGAGTGGAAGGAGCTTGCAGTCGACAAGGTTGGGGAACATGGACATAAGGCATCTCTCTACTGCGCAAAACAAAATCAAGGCATTTCTGAGTCTTAAGTTCTGCTGTATTTCCCTTGAGAGAGTGCAGAGGAAAGGGCCCTACAATATTGTCACATACTTTGCATCTTACAGGGCATTTGTACCTCAGTGGGGAGCCTTGTTTGTGTCTTGACCAGGCAGGCAATGTGCACTTACACCGCATGTAAACTAACCAGGTTTCTTTTCCTGTAAGCACCGTCTCAATAACCCATAGAATGTTGCACAAATGAATGCTTTCATTATTCAGATCTGCTGCCGAGGCGGGGGTGAAGAACATGTTGTAATTCTGCCATGCTGACAGGCACCATGAAGCAACAGAAGGAGGTGCTGGGGAGGGAGGCAAATGCTCTTAACTAACATCTGCCAACAATAATAATGAGTAATAAATGAGTAAGATGGATACTTACACGCTGAAGTTCTCATCAGGAGATCTGACTTTCTGGTGGTGATTCAGGCTCATCGGACCCGGGGCAGAAATCATTGTCCATTGTGGCAGGGCAGGCCGTCCATTGTCAGGCTCCTGAATGCTGTTTCCAACACTCAGAGCACAGCTCATTTCCTGATGGGTCAAGCTATTGATTCTTGCTGTGAGGGACAGCGCGGGCAGCAGGCTTAAGGTAGCGTCTGGGTTGGGATGTACTGGAGCTTGGTAGGATCTTGTCAAAGAAACAGATGGACAGATCACATTCCCCTACCAGATGATCTCCTTTTATCCCTTGACAGCATACTTTCTTGTGCGCTGCTTGATCTTTCTCTGGCACTGGTTTGCATCTTGTCGATATCTGCTTTGCAATGTTCGTGAGCAGATCTTACATCTGTAGCAGACTACTAGAGTTTCCAAGGGCAAATAGGCAACATCTGGCCCTGAACCATCTTTTCAAGGGGAGAAGAGCCACTCTGGAAACTTGATCCTAGGAAAGGAGGGGCACACAGACTGGTCAGTAATGCAAAGCATTGGGTGGTGGCCTTTGAAAGCATGCAGAAAGAGGAGTATAGCAAAATCCATTTGAAGTAATCCTAGTCCACTATGGAAGAGAGTTTCAGTGTTCGTGATAAATGTGGAGTTGGTGCTCAGTGGTGGGTTGCATCATTTGTTTGCAAACTTTTTCAAACCGGATTAACTAGTATTGGATCCAGTTAAAAACTCCAGTGTAGGCAAGCCCTCTGTTGGCTGATCTTGATCTTCTTGGCTTAGTTTATACTGGGAAAAGAAGTGTGTTCTTAATGTAAGTGAGTTAAGTTGAGGTGAAAAGAAATTAAGATAAAACCGTTTATATTTTTTTCATAGGTTAGCAGGTCAAGTGGGATAGTAAAGAATTTTAACTTTACAGAGTAGAAAGAGAGAGGTACAGTTGTCTGCCCAATACTTCAAGAAACCTCTCTCTTTTTTTCAGGGGAGACTAGAATAATTGTATTTGATATTTGCATCCTTTAAGATGAAAAATCCTATATAAGGCTAATAATTAACAGTTCAAGAGATTTTAATAGGTGGTGAAAAGCAATGAATGATCTCCCTGTATTTTAGCTTCCATTGTGAAATAGGTTGCCTTTGCAAATAAAAATTTGCAAATCTAATTAAAATGTTCCTTACTCTTTTCTACACACACACTTGTTTGTGAATTAAAAATCATCATACAGGCTTTTAGCTGGACAAATGTGTAATCATAAAATGGCATTATGATAAATTGCTGTACAGTTCCTTTTGAACAAAAAGATCTTTTGTAGTATGTATCTAAAGAAAAAAACAAGCTCAACAAGAGATTGTTTTCACTATTAAAACAGACTTTGTGAAACCCTATGCAAGTGTTTGAGATGTAATTTTTACTTTCAGGATCTGAAACTCATCAGATGTGGGTTAATTATAAAATGTCAGCTATAATGGGGAACTTTGCAAAACTGGAATTTTTCTCCACTCGTTTAATGAGGCAGCCACATTTAAAACTTTTTGTAAAGGTACTCTGTATTTTTCTTGAAGTCCTTTTGGTGTAATTCAAGTGAGAAGGAAGAAAAAAATATAACAACCAAAACTCTCACTGATGTGGCCCCTGACTGAGAATAAGATACTCCCCACATTCCTCTCGCACACCAGAGT